GGGCTGCTGTTTAAGCTATGTATTAACCTCAAATGACGATGACAAAAACAGTAATTAATATTTGTTACAAATAAGTGTTTTTGTTTTAGCTCGAAGACGCTCGACGAGAAACAGAAGAAACAAGCATGAAATTAAGCTGTGTTGAAAACGAGTTGGAGATGGTGAGGGAGAAATCAGAGAACCAGAACATAGAGCTGGCATGTAAATATGGTAAAAATCCGTTATGTGTTTAATCATTATTTCCGTCAAATCATGATGTTTCCAGAAGAGTTATCGACAATGGAGTGTCTTAAAAACAAGTTGTCATCTACGATTCAAGATTTGCAATCAGAGCTGAAGTCGCTCAAAAACAAGGTCACGTTTTTGGAGAACGAACGACAGAATCTGGAAAGTCAAAGTCAGACGCAGTCTCAGTTACAAAACTCTCAGCTGAAGGCCCTGGAAATGGTAATTTTTTCGACTAACTCTGATCTTCATAGTAATATCCGTTCTAGGAAATGACCCTACTGCACAGGTGTGCATTGAGGAATTATGACAGAATTCAAAATCTTGTTGAGAATTTTATTTATACGCTTGGGAAAATATACCTAGCGATTCAGGCAGGCTGTAAGCATTTCTGTCACAAAGCATCTCTGCATGTTTTGGTGGTAGGGCTGAAAAATTATGGGGATAAATAAGTCAGCATCAGCCATCTACAAATTCCTTTCATATGTTATTTCTTGTAAGCAACCTTCAAATCAGGTTACATTTAGGTCGTGATCATTAAAATTCTTTATAGTTGATAAATTTCAGCAGAAAATATACCGTCCTGACCTTCTCTTACCGAGAGATTTAATTACATAACAGGTTTTAATCAGAATAAAAAAAATTTATTCATTATTTACGGGCTACACCTTATCATAAATAACCGACTATTATGTGTGTGGCGGGAAGTTGCAGTTGTAGAGAGCATGCATCAAATAACATGGCCATGAACAGCAGTATGACGACATCAGAAGATCGTGCTGTTAAACGTGTTATTAATCGGCAGCATACAGAGCGGGTTCTATTGGCACCTTTGCCAGCGGTGCCACATGAGCAGGCGGGCTTCGACCAGCCTGAATGAGCTGCACCGATCAATTAGTCGCACTAACATCGCTTATCGAATCCCGCTTCCAAAATAGGCAAAAAATTGGAGTCGTACTCACAGACCTCAGCTGCTCCTTCGGTGTAGAGACACGGATTGTTATTGAAATGTCCAAAGAAACTACGCCTTTTAACATCAGTGCTAAGCAGCTGAAAATGCCGTGTATACTAGGGTGATCAGATATGCTCAACCAATACGGTAAACAAAGGAATATCTTAAGTCTCCGTCTTTGCACCCTACTCGTCAACAGTTACACAAACGACATGGCGCTAACGCAGCCTACACGGACGACATGGCACTTGTATTCCAGGACACAAGTGTCGACCAGGTCGACTGAGCCCAAGCGATGACCTGAAGACGATGGAGGACTATTGCCCATGCTGGCGCCTCCGCCTCAACCCCTCCAGAACAACTGTTACTGCCTTTCTTCTCAGCAACCGCCTGCCATAATCTACCCTCGAAGTGTTTTTTGCGACACTCGAGTCAAAACAAACGAAACCAGTCCAAAATGTATGGAAGTAACCTTCGACTATTGCAGCCACGTGTTCCGACACCACATTTGAAAGATCTGTGCAAAGAAAGAGGCTCGGAACAATATGCTGCAGACACTGGCCGTAGCAAGCTGAGGATCTGATACCCACGCCCTGCAAAC